GCCAAGTGGGGAACATGACCAAGAATCTTTGCTGGGGTTTGCACTGGAAGGACCTGAAAGCAGCGTGTATGGATAAAGACTGACCAGGGTAGATAATTTCAGCTCACGGATGTGGGGCTATTCCTTATTGTCTAGCACCTGACCCTAGGTAGAATACTGATCCTGAGTGTGAGGACTTCCAGAGGAGGGGGTGGATGGAAAGGCTCTGGCTTACTGTCTCTACATATTGGCTAGTTCTGAGGAGGATGGCCCATCCAGAGTAGCAAGGCCCCCAGACAGACACCAAAGAATCAGATGGCAGAAAACAAGACATGGTTAATCCATACGGGGTTTGCATTCTTAGTGGCCAAATATGGCTGTTGTTTTTCCCTGGATCTGCATCAAACATTTGATACATTCACACATGGATCTGTGGCCCATGGGGGGTGGGGTGAGGTAGGCATCAGGCATTTCTTTAATAGGCATTCTCCAATTTGTCAGTGATCTTGAGCACCTTTCCCTGTATCTGTGAGCCAAGGAGGAATGGAGAGCTCTCTAGAGTGTGTCCATGCCTTCCTAGACTTGCTTCTTTGTCTTCAGACCAAAGTTAAGCTTGCCTGCAAGGCTTTCCTGGCTCTTCCTGGCTTGGCCTTAGGTGTGTCTCAGACACTGTGCCTTTTGGCATGTCCCTACTTCCATTGTGAATTCTGTCTTTGGTCTCTATCCCTAGCCCTTCCCTCCTAGTCACTGCCTGGGCTGTTCCATCTCCCTGGACACTTGTCAAACCATATGATCCCCTTCATTCTCCTTAAACCCACACAGACACGCAGGTGTCTGTACTTACATACTGAGGTCACCTCCAAGATCCCGTTCTAGGTCACTTGTACTTCCCAATCTTTGCTATTCCTGCTATCAAAGTTGATCTATTTTTAAACTTCCCCACAGACTATAAACTTGTTGAATATTTCATGTTTTTGTCTCTGTACCTAGCATGATGACCGAAATATACCAGGTGCCCACTCACCGAGTACACTTTGTAGGGATGGAGGAGGTGAGGACACCGTGAGCCTACATGAGCTGCTTTATGTATCTGCGCAGTCCGGGACACTTGCCTGCTCACACACGGGGCTGTCCCTCCAGGGCTGATGGCCTGGATGAACCTCAAGCTTTGAAGAATGTTAGATCTTCAAGGAAACACCATTCAGTGCAATCCTGGCCTCACGCTCTGCATGTTCTGGGATCAGTAAGTTGCCTGGACGCTTCATGGATGTTCATAATTCAAGAAACCCAGGGAGAAGAGAAAAGACCATTACTTGGCTTCAGTCTTTAGTTTTCAAACAGTGTTTTCCTCAAGGCCCACATGTCGGAAACTTGATACACAGGTGCACAGCATGAGAAGCAGAGGCTGATGGGAGTTTTTTGGGTCGGGAGGGCTCTGTCTTTATGGATGGACTTGTGCTACTCTGGGAGTGAGCTGCTTACCAAGGAATGGGTTTCCGATGGAAGGATGAAGGTCAGTTGTCAGTCTCCCTGTGCGGTCAGTGTTTCTGTTTCCTCCCTCTCTCTTTCTCTCTCTGTCTCTCTCAAAAGTGGATTTCTTTCTGGCCACATGGTATCTTCTGCCATGCTATAATGTAGCGAGAAGGCCCTTCCCAGAAGTAAATCTCTTTTTTGAAATACTTAGCCTCCAGTACTTAGGAATTACCTGGCGGTGGCATTTAGTTTTAGCAGCAGAAACTAGAGTTTCCCTGAATTTCACAACTACTCCTGTGTCTGTCTCATACTCCATTTGGAAGTCTTTGGAGTATGTCAGGAGGCTTTTGCTTTTTTTCTGCAGTTTGGTAGTGAGCTCCTGTAAGAGTGAGAAAGACAGAGGAGGTAAGTTTTCCATCACTTCGTAGGAAGTGAGTCATGCCCCCTCCTGCATTCCATCTTTCCTTATTTTCTTTTCTGGAGAAAGTACATATCCAATTATATTCAAGATGGCTTATATTTTAGAGTCCAGTGCCTCAGAATATGACTGTTATTTGGAGAAAGGTCTTTAAATGGTAATTAACTTTAAATGAGGCCATTAGGATTGTCCTAGATGACACAGGGAACACACACAGGAGCGCACAGAAGACCTGCACCCAGACCAACACTTTTACTCTGGATTTCCAGCACCCGGAACTGGGAAAAGTTGAATTCCTGTTGTGTAAGCCACCAAGACCATGGTATTTTATGGCAGCTATGGAAAAAATAGAACATGAGATAATATAGGAAGCTGACAAAATGCTGTGCCGTAGCCACCCCCGAAAGCTTCCCCTGCGTGAATCAGAATGGTAGGAGCGCCCAGTCCTGTCTTACACTGTGTGAGCCTCCTTTTCCAAACTCTCAGTGCTGGAGGTAAGTGGGCATGGACCAGAAGCTAGTGAAGAGCCTGTGAATTGTTACATCAAGGTGAGTGATTACACGTAACCCACAGAAGGGAAAGGCAAGGGAGCATGAGGCCACCTCCAGTTGGATGAAATGCAGTCTCTCATTTTGTTAAAATCTATATTCATAAATGTTTTGCCTGCTTGTATGTGCATGCACCACATGCATGCCTGACGCCCATGGAGATCAGAAGGGAGCAAAGACATCAGATCCCCTAGAACTAGAGTACAGATGGTTGTGAGCCACCACGTGGGTGCTGGGAATCGAACCTGCCTCATCTGCAGGAACAGCAAGAGGTCTTAATCACTCTAGCCCTTGGAAGGCTGTCTTAAAGAAGGAGAATTTGACCTAGCTGCATGGGCCCAGAAAGGAGAGGCAGAAGCACGGGCAAAGTTCCAGGAAGGTAGATGTCGGTCTGTCATACTTTTGTCAACTCAACATGAACCTAGACATACCTGAGAAGAGGGACTCTCCACTGAGAAATTGCCTCCATGTGGCCATGTCTGCGGGGACAGTTTCTTCAAGGCTGATTGATGCAGGAGGGCCCAGCCTACTGTCTGTGTGTCAGGAGCGGGTATCATTCCTGGGCTGGCGGCCTGAGCTGTCATAAGTGTGCCAGCTGAGCAAGCCATGGGAGGTAAAGTTGGTAAGCAAGCAGCCTTCCTCCATGGTCTCCACTTCCGCTTCCTGACCTGCACTTCCTCAATGACGGACTGTAACTTGTAAGCCAAGTACACCTTTCACCTCCACGTTGCATTTGGTCAGTGTTTTATCACAGCAATAGAAACTAAAGGAGAGCGACCCACATAGGGAGAGCTTTTCTGAGTGCCATGGGCAAATACAACAGGCTTCCTTAAGTACTGGGTGAGGTGCACGATCTTGTTCACAAATAATTTAATTTTTATGGTACTGGGGGTGGAGCTCTGAGCCTCACACAAGAGCTACTGCTGAGTTGAAGCCCTGGCTGCACACCACTATGTCAGAAAGGAGAGCGAAGCATAGGTCCCATCTTTGGGCCTGATGAACTTTGATGTTCGTGTTGGCCCCGGTATTCTCTATAAACCGACTGTTGCCGCTACGGGGAAGAGTTCAGAAATGGTTGTTGCACGGTCAAACAACAGTTTTGAGCCCTGTGGATTTGACAGCTATTTAAAAAGGGTAGACATTTTACTGAGAATAAAGTGGAATAAATATTCAATTTGCAGCGAACAATCTCAGGACCTTGGAAACATGGAAAAATATCCAAGTAATGCTTTGGGGCCTCATAGTACATGCGTTAGTAGAATGCATTTGTAATAGCCAAAAATGTTAAACTTACTCTGTGCAAAGCTGACATCTCAATTTTACAAATCGAAAAAAAAACATTGAACTCGATTTATCTACTAAAAGCTAATTTCTCCTACAAGAATTTGTTAAAATTACTCGCAGTAAGAGCCGGCACAGTAAAAGCTGTAATTTCCCAACTACCTTCAGTATGTGAGATTTTGGAAAAGTCGATAGAAGGACGGGATGATTTGGTGGCTGTATCAGAAACATGGTTTTTCATATCCACAAATTGCTACGGAATAATGGAGTGCCAGTTGTTCGAAAATACTGCCTGCCGGCACCACCTCATTAGAGCACACCCCTTAATCACCAAGGCTGGAGCCTGGGCCTTCGGAGTCCAGCCCGCAGAGGGAGGCCTATCTTGCTGGCGAACAGCAAAGGCAAGAATGGCTTGAGAGAGCAGAGCTCACAGCAGGCTGAACTTAGGGCACCAGAAAGGGACGGCTGGCCAAGGGAACTCTGTTTCCTGGGACCTCTGATCCTTTTGGGTTCTTAACGCTCGGGCCATAAGCCTCCCCTTCTGGTGATACCCAGCTTGCCTCCCTGGGAGAGAGCCTCTCAAGAGAAAGCTCAGAGGGATGTGTGCATCTCCCAGGCAGCCAAGAGGGACGGGGAACAGAGAGAGACCCAATCTCCAGGAGTCGCCTTCTGGACTCTAGGAGACGCGCAGAGCCTGCGAAGGTGCTCAGGCGTCACCAGGAACTTGAAATTTTAGCAAGGAACGTGCTCACTCCGCCCCATTCAAGTTAACCCTGTGGTCGGTGATGGTCCTGGGTAGGATCCCTCTGCCTAAGGCCACCTTCGCCATCTCAGCCTATGGTGGTGCCCACAGGGCACCAGAGGACATTGGTGAAGGATCGGGGTGCAGACCTGGAAGTGTGCGCGCGTGCGTGTGCCTGTGTATGTGCGCGCGCACATGCGTGTGCTTCCGCCCCCCTCGCGCGCGTGCCGCTGCCTGGCGACTCGTGCCCGACAGGTGCAGGCGCGCCGGCTTCCCATTGGCCGTGGCGTCTTCCTCCGCCCTCGCCATCCCCTTACCCCCACTACTGGCGCTGGCTGGGATCCGCTGAGGCGCGTGCAGGCCTGCGCGCCCGAGCCCTCCCCGCGCTCGCTCCCGCCTCGTCCCTCCCTCCCCCTCTCCGCGCCGCCGCCGCGCGATCCCGAGCTCAGGTACCGAGCACGCGGGCTCCTCCCCGGGGGCGCGCAGCCCGGCAGCCTTGGCCCTAGTCACCCCCGCCCCGCGGGCGCTCGGGGGGGGGGGGAGCCCGGGGAGGGAGCGCGCGGCGGGACGGGCGGGGGCGGTGCAGCCCGGCAGCCGCCGAGGCTTCCTTCTCGTTCTTTCGCTAGCTCGCGCAGCGGCGGCAGCAGAGGTCGCGCACAGATGCGGGTTAGACTGGCGGGGGGAGGAGGCGGAGGAGGGAAGGAAGCTGCATGCATGAGACCCACAGGTAAGAGCCGGAGCCCGGAAGGGGCTTGCCTGCCCGGGGAGGCGCGCGCAGGCCGGCCTGGGCGAGTTGGCTCCGGGCTCAGCACCCCTAAAGGAGGAATTTTTAAAATAAAAATCACAGCTCAGATCTCATAGGGGACTGGGGCAATAGGACCCTCCCAATCCCTGGAAAAGCAGAGAAGTAGCCGGGGGCAGCAGGGTGCACATTGTGAGATTCCTGAGAGTAAAATGTACAGGCCCCGGGAAAAGTGTTTTCTCAGCCGCTTGACGCTAGAAGGCTTTAGACTTTCCTGTCATGATCACAACCGCTGAATCCTGGGGACCAGTGCAGAGCCAGTGTGCACTAACCCCTGTCCTCTCTCCCCTCCTCCATCCCTCCCGCACGCGCAGTATCCCATGGTGGCTGCTACTCTCTGGACCCTGCATGAGGGGTGGCAGGGAGGATCTCGGCTTGGGAAAGGGGCGGGAGGTGCGCAGGGGCTACCCGGGATGGAGCCCGCAAAATCCAGGCGCCGGGTACCCAGGGTGGAGGAGGGAAAGCGTGGCCCCAGAGCCCGGGCAACCCCGGGGTATTATCGTGTTCCGCTCCTGGTTGCAGACTCTTGCAAGCTGGATGCCCTCTGTGGATGAAAGATGTATCATGGAATGAACCCGAGCAATGGAGATGGATTTTTAGAGCAGCAGCTGCAGCAACAGCAGCCTCAGTCCCCCCAGAGACTCTTGGCCGTGATCCTGTGGTTTCAACTGGCACTGTGCTTTGGCCCAGCACAGCTCACGGGTGGTGAGTAACCCCGCTGTGATGGGAGAGCCTTGGACGGCCCAGCAGGGAGGGGAGCCTGCGCTGGCAGGACAGCACTGCGCCTCCTGCATACACGCAGACTTTAGGGGTGCCTGAGAAACAGAATTCTTGTGTCCCAGTCTTCTGCAAAACCCCCGGAGTTCACAGAAAATTCTGTGGAACCCGGTGCAGGTTCGCACACCCACCAGCAGCCTAGTTGGGCTTTTCTGAAGGAAGGACAAAAAGTCTGGTCTATTATTTCCATTTTGGCTAAGGAAGAAAAAAAAGAGGCATCGAATAAGAAAGAAAGAGAAAAGAGGCGGTGTATTTGTGGACCTTTTACCTTTGATCTTTGCCCTCTGCAGACCAGTCAGGTTTTGACTTCTGGATTTGGGCAACACTAGGCTAGCCACCTTTAAGAATGTCAAGGGTCTGAAATCATGGTCAGACTGGTTGAAGGACAGGTTTATTTGAAAGTTAACTTTCTGTTTCTTGGAGATGGTGTGTTGATGCACGTCGGCGGTTGCTGGGGTGGGGGGGGGGAAGGGTTGCAGAGCTTCAGGGATGTTTCTGGAAGATCGTTTAGCCGGTTGCAGGGGGAACCAAGTCAAGAAGTGAAAGTTAACTGAAATAAATTGATAGCCCCAGTCTCTGTAGGCGGCTCCTCTGCAATGTACTTGATTCCAAGGGAGAGGGCTGTGTTTTGGTTGTGGTAGAGGAAGACAGTTGGAGTTCCTGTCTGAATTCCCCTGCTCAAGCATCTCCCTTTCTCCCTTGTGCACCACTGTCCATCACTCCCGTCTGTTCCAAATATTCCTTGAGAGCTTGCTGCTGTGGGCACGTGAAGGACAGGTTTGTGAAATCCAGTGGATGCCTCGGTAGATTGTCATTAGATGAGAAACGAGTATTGCTGGGCAGAAATGAGCTATTTGCTTGTGGGAAAACGTTGCTGTTTCACAGACTTGGGAGGTGAAGATGGGGCGAAGGAATGGATGGAGAGGGAGCAACACTGGGGGAGGAGAGTGACCACCCAGGCCTTAACCCAGAGCAGTCCACAGTCCAGGCATTCCCCACGGGCAGCTGTCAGCTGCCTGGGTTGTGAAGGTGTGTATCATGGTGTGCATCGAGTCTGGGTTAGGGAGAAAACTCTTACTTTGGCTTTGGATGGAGTGGGCGGGTGCGTGGTTGTCTTGACTTTATTTCTCTCAAGGAGTCACTTCTGTTGCCTTTGTTTAGTTTTCAGTAGATGCACCTCTGAGGCAGGCGTCCTCCTCACAGAGGGCAAGGTCAAGTGTGAGTCCAGACCATGTCCTTGTGGCCCGCCAGGGCTTTCCCCTCTCTGGATACTACTAGCCCTACCTCATAGGCAGATGGGAATCAGAGGCAGACCGCCACTGAGCAGGCCCAGGGCCTTTCCTCTTTCTGGCCTTTCAGTTCTAGCTCCCGTCCTTCTGGCCAGGTCCTTATGATTTACCATTGTCCTGGTTCATGCCTCCCATGCAGGTGAGCTAATCAGAGCCCATCCACATGTGTCTCCGCTGTTGGGTGAGGTCTGAGCTTGGGGTGGACTCAAAGGCTATGCTATTGGCTTCACCCATTGCTGTTTCCAGGGCTTTCCCAGCTCGGTTTAGCAACACCATTTGGACTCCCCAGGTACCTTTGTAGTTTGTACAGTGGTGTCTTTCGCTCTCCCTTCCCAGAGTCTTGGAAACGGTGGGAATAAGGGTTCCCCATCACCCTTCAGCGTCAGAGCCTTTCCTTGTAGGCATCATCTGTTGCAGAATGGCTGTAACTCTTATTTATTTATTTGTTTGGTGACGCTGGTTTGTGGAAGAATACTTACTACCATTTTAGGACTCCTGCATGAATCCACAGTGTAGGCAGGGAAGGACGGCGAGGGACATCCTAAACATGGATGAAACAGGTTTACTTTCTCATAAAAGAAATCTATGTATGTATCCAGGTTGACAGTGAAGGCAAATTTATCATTATTCCGGACCTCTGCTCTTAAAACATCCATGTGTATGCAAATCTATCTTGTTAAAAGATAGATCCCGATTCCGCCGGCTTTGGGAGATTCCTGAGAGTCTGTGTTTCTATGTTCTCTCAGTTATTATTGTTGTTTGTGTGCAAACGCATCTGCCACATTTGTGCTGGTTTCCCAGGAAGCCAGAAGAAAGCATTGGATTTCCTGGAGCTTCATGTACAGGCAGTCATGAGGGGCACCGTGTGGATGCTGGAATCTGAACTTGGGTCCTCTAGAAGAGAGGCAGGTGCTCTTAACTTTGGAGCCATCTCTTCGGCCCCAACGGTCTATATTCAATATGCTCCCAGCTCCCAGGAGAAGTCTTTGCTTCCGGTTCAAAGATCACAGTTTGATTAGTAATGCTTTAGACTAAGGTGTTCCTTAAAATCAGTTGCTTCTAACTCCAGACTTCCTGACCTCCTTCTCAATTACCAGATGCCAATGACCTGCTAAGGAGCAGAGGTCTCAGCCAGTGTCTCATCTGTAGGTGAAACACAGCTGAAATCAGCCTCACAGAGCGCTTTCCCTCTCTTAACCCACAAAAGGTGCATATTTAATAGGCACTCTTCTGAAATGTGGATTTTCATTTTTGATTGCTTTCAGAGAAAAAGGAACACCACAATAGCCAGATATAATAGTCTGAGCTAAGAGCGGGGGGGGGGGGGGGGGGGGGGGGGGGGGGGGAGAAAGCATGTGCCCAGTATAAGTTTTACAGAAAAAGGCCTGAACTAGAAAGGGAGAAATTGAGAAAATGACCAGACAAAAGAGGGAAGAGAAAAGAACTCCATCAAAACTGAAAGGCTTTGTCCTGGGAAGCCTGAGATCCAATTCAACTCTTTGAGCCCTAGGAGAGCTTTTTATAAGCCTGGCTTAGCTTGTGGTGACTTTGGGTGGCTTTCTTGGAGCTGTCTTTTGTCAGCTGGGTGGAAGGGTCCTCATTTGGAGCCTCTGAAAATGATTATCCTGTGGGGACCCCTGCCAGGCATATGGGGAGGGGGCGGATACAGGGCCCTGCTGTGCCCACTAATCCTACTGGACTATGGTTTCGGTTGCCTTTCTTCCTTTGCCTCAGTCTACTTTCCCAGAAGCCTCGTGGGTTTGGAGGGATGACGTAAGTGGTCCACCCAGAGGTACTGGAAGAGAACCTAGACTTTGCTTTATAAACTACTCCTCCAAGATCAATTCCTTCTAATATTGGGATCTCACAGCGGGTGCTGCGCTTGCTAGCTTTGAGGATTTTGATGTGGAGTGTTCTCAGCTTCCTTATGTATATGATAAAGAGGATTTTACAAATCTTAGGGAATTGGTATCAGGGATGGAAATGCCACAAACACTCAGTAATTGTAGAAGGTCATGGAGAAGTAATGGCAAGGCTAAGACAGTGCTATAGTCTGGGGCATCTTTGATCTATTTATTCATGAAGCATGAACTACTTGGACCCCACCTCAAACCAAGGCCTGTTGCTCACGTAGTTCTTTTAAACTAATAGAACCTTCCCTTTTTATCCCAGTGAACACTTTTTTTTATCATCATCGTATGCTTCTCCAGTCAGTAAATTCTTCACTCTCCTGGGCTCCCGTTGCTCTAAGAAGCAGCGCTTTATCATATCACTGTAAGCCCACTGAGGGCAGCGATCTCGACTGATACATTTTTATGTTTTAGGCACCAGCGCAGCATCTGATTCATGGCCCAATGCTCAGTCGGTGTTGGTTGAAAGCAAGAAAAATAGACACCTCACTTCCTGCGTCTCTGTTTAGAAAACAATCACTGTGGGTGGACGAGTTATGAAAAGTTGAGGCCATGTCCAGTTGGAGGTGGTCTAGGGAAGGCTGGAGGAGAGTCAGGAAGGGCTTCAGAGACAGGGAGACACTTAGGATGGGAAGGGGTGGCAGAGATACCGGGTACAGAGATGTGGAGATGGTCACATGATTGGACTCATCAGAGAGCAGAGACCAGTCTGACGAATGCAGATGCTATGACCGCAGTGAACCATGTACAAGGACAGATAACTTGGAGTCTTTTCTTAAGGGTCTTGGGAGCATCCTGAATGCCTCACATCAGGACCCAGGAAGTAGTGTTTGGAACAGGAGTGTAACATCAGGCAGGCTATACTTGCCACTTCCCTGCTTCCGAGTCAGCACCCCCGAGTTACCGTTCTGTCTGAATTTAGCCCCATGAGGGTGAGGTCTCATCTGGGTCATGAGTCACATCTGTGTGCCAGCAGATAGGAACAACGAGTTTGTAGATGTGGTTATCTTGGAGTTTTATTGAGAAAAATTTTATGTGTGGTTGAGTAGAAGCTTTTCCTGCAATGCTGTCTCTAAAATCCATGGTTTCAAACTGAACCTAGTCAACAAAGTCCCAACTCCCGAAACTCGGGCACTTATTTCCTCAACAAGGCCTGTGGTGATTTAAGCAGTGTGGAAACGCAGCTTATTGACAGGTGAAATCCGAAAGCTTCGAGGGTACGGAAGGATTTCCTGTAGCAAGTAGCAAATCTCACAAGCCAGAAGAGAAGAGGCAAGTCAAAGAGACCCAGAGTGTCTTTAATTCCCTAGCGCAATGGTGGGGTAGATGAAGATCGTGACCCAGCAGATTCCGGTTAGAAATGAGGGAAAGAGGCTGTGCTGTTCGGCTCTTGGTGTCTGAAATATATCTCCAGTGTTTCCGAAAGGCCTTCAGATGATAACGAGGGCTCTGCATTCTTTCCAGGATGAGCAGAGTTCAAGTTCAGCTTCTGCCCTTACGTGGCTGCATGGATTTCAGTTGCCAGTTAGCATCGTGGCCTGACAGTATTAAGATCTCTATTAATGTCGTCAGCCCTTGTCTGCAGTTTCGTTTCCGTGATTTCAGTGGCCAGTTATCATCACGGCTTGGAATTATTAAGTGGAAACGTCGAGAATAAGCGGTAACAAAGGGAGTGCCATTTTGAGAAGCACGAGGAAGTCTTTCACCAACCTGCCCAGTTCCTTCTGCA